GCAGTAAAAGGTGGTTGTGATTAAATGCTGGCCAGGATGGTGCAATCCCTAACTACCGCAGAAGCTCCAGGAAGAGAGAGAAACCGGTGGCGGGTGGAAAGTGTGGAACGGGCTTGGGGAGGGGTTGGACCTCAAAGCGTGGGGCGGTTGTAGGAAGGAGAATTGAGGGGGAGCTACCTTGATAAAGAGGTGCAGGGTAGAACCACAAGGACTGGCTTCCTAGCTGGAGCTCGAGTTTGCAAAGCTTTCTGTAAGGTCTGGACAGGGCTGCATGGCTGGGGTCTTCTCAGCCAAACTCGTTAGCTTAGGAAGCTGCTACTCATGGCACGAAATTTCAATAAGCAGGACTCTGCCCTTGCATCTTAATTGATCCTGAAGAAATGCCCAGACACAGTGCCGAAAACCCCAGTCGGCAGAAAGACCCCTTCCTTCATTCAGCAGGAAGACCCCCTTCCTTCATTCAGTGACTTGGTATTTTGCATCTGCATACTGCTGGAATCCAATGGGCAACCTTACTGCCTCCGAAGCCCTCCTAGGAACTTACAAACGCCAACCCCCGATGGGGGAGAAAGGTGGGGCGCCATCACAGGTACCTGACACCCACTGAGGTGTACATGGCTGTGCGTGTTTCAATGGGACTGACTTTTTGTTTAAACTTGTTTTTAGGCAAGCTCAAATAACAATCTAGAAAAGCCAGACTCCAGAGAACAATGAGAAAATGTAGCGAAGCCAAATATAAAAATACTGGCACATGCAAAAAATATATATATAAAATAAAATAAAAAAATCAATTCACTTCCACAGATTACAAGTGGAAATTCCCAGAGGGACGAGTAGATTTTGGAAGAGAAAAAGAGATTATATTTTATGGGAAGAGATACAATAACCATTCTCTTCCCATAAAACAAGTGATGGAAGATTGTCTCTGCTTCATAGATATACACTGCACATTTTCAGGATAATACTAACAGGAAATCAATAGGATCTTTTATATGTGAAAAGACATTATCTCTCTGGACTCCCAGCACGGCTAATCGGGCTACAGAAGATCTTCACGAAAATTTGCCACTGGCCATTAATCTTGGTCCTGGGACAGTAAGTAGCCTGCAAATCTAGATCTTTGTTTATTTTTAAATTATCCTTATTATTTATTTATTTCTTTATGAGGGAGATAATCAGGTTCAAAGCGTCACTCTCCATTAGAGCCACAGAGCCTCCAGATGATACTCTGTGACAAGTGTCTCCATGGCAGACCAGATGCTCTCGGAGAGCCCCCTCCTGCCCACGTCCACTCTGGGTGATGGCCATGTCATTAGCCACCAGAAGCTTTATCTGGGCATAATTTGACAGCTACTACAGGCTCAGCAGGATTTATGGGATCTCCCAGTTTTTGCCTTTATTGATCTGAAATAGAACCAAAGTTAATATTGGCAAAAAACACTTTGTGCTGGGGTCATTTACCCATGAAAGTCTTTGGTGACTGGTGGCTTTGAACATTTATTATACAAGTGTTCTTGGCCAACTCCAGGTCGTGAGTCTCATGATGGCCAAAGACTAAATATTCTGGCCTCTCCTCCCGCAGGAGGAGCTAACCACTATCGTTGCAAAACCCTTTCCTTTTCCAAGAAACTAATCATCACAGGGTACAGAGCCCATTAGTATCAAGTTTGGATTTAGCACTGGCTCTGCCCTGGCTTTAGTTTGCTCCGGCTGCCCTAAGTACCAAAGTCTGAGTGACTTAAAGCAACAGGAATCTCAGTGGGGACAGTGACTCACACCTGTAACCCCAGCACTTAGGGAGGCCAAGGTGGGAGGATCATTTGAGGCTAGGAGTTTGAGTCTGGGCAATATAGTGAAACCCCCATTTCCAAGAAAAATACAAAAAAAAAAAAAAAAAAAAAAAAAAAAAAATTACAGGCATAGTGATCTGTGCCTGTGGTCCCTGCTACTTGGGAGGCTGAGGTGGGAGCATTGCTTGAGCCCAGGAGGTCGAGGCTACAGTGAGCCAGGATCATGCCACTCTACTGCAGCCTGGGTGACAGAGACTGTCGTATATAGTGTCTCGTAGTTCTAGAGGCTTGAGATCTAAACCCAGGCATCCCCAAGACCACGCTTTCCCTGGCGGCTCTCAGGGATGATCCTTCCTTGTCCTTGCGGCTTGCAGAGGTTGCCTGGACATCCTTCGACTTGCAGACACATCATCACGGCCCTAAGGCAGCAGTCTCCTTCCTGCATCTTCACGTCGTTTTCCCTCTGTGTGCATCTGTATTCAAACTTCCCCTTTAAAAGGACACCAATCATATTGGATTAGGACCCCACCCTAATGACTTCTTTTTTTTTGAGACGACGTTTCACTCTTGTCGCCCAGGCTGGAGTGCAGTGGTGCGATCTCGGATCACTGCAACCTCCACCTCCTAGGTTTAAGTGATTCTCCTGCCTCAGCCTCCCGAGTAGCTGGGACTACAGGCGTGAGCCACTGTGCCCAGCCTAATGATTTCATTTTAATTAAATTACTTCAAAGGCTCTATCTCCAAATACAGACACATTCTGAGGTCCTGGGGATAGGACTTGCCTTCAACATATGAATTGGGGGGACCCCATTCAATCCATAACAGCCCCTCAAAAGACTTCCCTCTTATTAAATGCAGACTAGGTCATTCCTAATAGATCAGGGTTCTCAACCTTGGCACAGTTGACATCTGCCCAGATAATTTTTTGTTAGGGGAAGCTGTCCTGGGCATGACATAGGGTGTGTATGTATGTATGTATGTATGTATGTATGTATTTATTTTTGAGACAGAGTTTTGTTCCTGTCACCCAGGATTGAGTCCAATGGCGTGATCTCGGCTCGCTGCAACCTCCACCTCCCAGGTTCAAGCAATACTCCAGCCTCAGCCTCTGGAGTACCTGGGATTATGGGTGTTCACCACCATACCTGCCTAATTTTGGTATTTTTAGTAGAGAAAGGGTTTCACCATGTTTGCCAGGCTTGTCTCGAACTTCTGACCTCAGGTGATCCGCCTACCTTGTCCTCTCAAAGTGCTGGGATTACAGGCGTGAGCCACCATGCTGGCCTGACATAGGGTATTTATTAATAGCAGGATCTCAGGCCTCTACCCACTAGATGCCAGTAGTACCTCTCCCCTCCCTTGTGAGAACCAAAAATGTCCCCATTTATTGCCAAATGTCCCCTGCAAGGGGAAGAGCGCCCCCAGTTGAGAGCCACTGAATTAAGTAAAATATAGGCCAACCTTAGAGAAGCATTGTAAGGGGGCTGGACGCAGGTGAAGAGGTCAGGGCGCTCACACAACAGCCAGAGAATCTTCCCTAAAAGCGATGGATCCTAAGCAACCCCCTAAACATCCAAATTCCTTCATGAATTTCACAAGTAGTTATCATGTGCCAAGAGTGTATCAGGTGCTGCACTGGAGGGAAAAAAGAACGAGACATTTTATTTATTTATATGTATTTATTTATTTATTTTTATTGTTTTGAGATGGAGTCTTACACTGTCGCCCAGGCTGGAGTGCAGTGGACGATCTTGACTCACTGCAACCTCTGCCTCCCAGTTTCAAGCAATTCTCCCGCCTTGGCCTCCCAAGCGGCTGTGATTACAGGCGTGCACCACCACACCCAGCTCATTTTTATATTTTCAATAGAGACAGGGTTTCGCCATGTTGGCCAGCCTGGTCTCAAATTCCTAAGCTCAAGCAATCTGCCCACCTCGGCCTCCCAAAGTGCTGGGATTACAGGCATTACCCACCATGCCCAGCCTGGGATGCTGAAATTTTCCAGGGCAGGAAAATCACTTGAACCTGAGAGGCGGAGGTTGCAACAAGGCGAGACAGTGCCGTTGCACTCCAGCCTGGGCGACAGAGCATGACTCTGTCTATAAATAAATAAATAAATACCCAGGCATGGTGGCTGGTGTAGTCCCAGCTACTTGGAAGGCTAAGGCAGGAAAATCAATTCTACCCAGGAGGCGGAGGTTGCAGTGAGCTGAGATTGTGCCACTGTGCTCCAGCCTGAGCAACAGAGCAAGACTCCATCTCAAAAAAATAAAATAAAATAAAGATAAGTTTACCAGATATCTCTCTTCTCCAGGGATAGACCAGATTCTCACTCTGAAAAAGAGTTCTAGTCTGGGTGATAATATGGCCACCCCACTTACTCGGAAATAAGAACTCCCAGGCAGCGTCTCTTGTAAAGGTGCAGCACGTCAGGGACTCAGAACCTCCCGCTGGGCTCCTCTAGTGGGGGCGCATCTCAGTTACCTGGACCCAGTTCAAGGATAGGTGAAGGTCTGTTTTTGCCAATGACTGAACAACCTTGAAGAAGTCTGTGCATGTCGATCGCTATGCCCTTGGTTCTGGCAGGAAGCAGGTGTACACTCTGTCGTGAGGGCAACCGCATCGCCTTGGGTCTCCTTTCCTCCTCGACTCACTGTTTCTGATGCACTAAACAAATGATACGCCTAGATCGCTAGTCTTTGGCTGTGATATCTCCTGCTAGAATTTCCATCTCTCCCACAGCCTACCCTGTGGGACCATCTGCTTCTTTACAGCAAATCTCACCTCACCTGTTGACATTTACATGCACATGCCAAAACTAAGAGAAAGCCTGAAGAATGTGGTACATGAGGAGGGGGGTGTTCCTGGGTCGCTCCACGCCTCATTAGTCAGGCAGGCTGGAATGTGGTTGAAAATCAGGGAGTTGTAGATACACATTCCAAAGTCCCCGGTGACATGTCCAGAAGGAACGGAACTCCACGACAGGCAAAAACAACAGCCCTTGTTTAATTCTGAAGTTTACATGCATGTTGGCACCATTCTATCCCAACCTTTTGTTTCCATGGAAACCATTTATGATACCACAAAAAGAGGATTCTGACCAAAGTGAGGAAGGAATAGCAGCAATGGAAACTAGCTTTCAAATGAGCTTCAGGTAGAGGGGAGGACGGGGTGGGGGTGGAAAAGGACCCTGATATGGTTTGGATTTGTGGCACCACCCAGTCTCATGTCAAATTATAATCCCCAATGTTGGAAGAGGGGCCTAGTGGGAGGTGATTGGATCATGAGGGGAACTTCCCTCTTGCTGTTCAGGTGATAATGAGTGAGCTCTCATGAGATCTGGTTGTTTAATGTGTGTAGCACCTTCCCCTTTGCTCTCTCTTCCTCCTGCTCCAGCCACGTGGTATATGTCTGCCTCCCCTTCGCCTTCTGCCGTGATTGTAAGTTTCCTGAGGCCTCCCCATCCATGCTTCCTGTACAGCTTATGGAACCAACCACAAGCCAATTTAACCTCTTTTCTTTATAAATGGCCCAGTCTCAGGTAGTTCTTTACAGCAATGCAAGAACAGACTAATACAGAGCCAGGCCCAGAGCTACTGTTAGGGAGAATGACTCTCTCAGGATTCCCTAGGATGAATGCTTGCGGCCCAAGCACAGCCCACTCATCCCAGGGTTGATGCTGATGATCTGGCTGGCTGAGTAACCCTTCCAAAACCTGCTTTGCCCTTAGGTTTTCCTTTCTTTTCTCAAGAAAAAAAAGTGTTGTTCAGGCAAGGGGAAAGCACTCTCCTCTGCTTCAACCTAAGCATGGAGAGGCGTTGGGGTAGAGGAGCAGAAACCACCCAGAGTACTAGTTTCCTGAGCATGCCGTAACAAACTTGCTGTTTAAAACAACAGAAATTTATTTTCTTCCAGCTCTGGAGGTCAGAAGTCCAAAATCTGGGTGCCAGCAGATCCAGGCTCCCTCTGAAGACCCGAGGACAGACTCCTTTCTTGCTTCTTCCAGTATCGGCGATTTGTTGGCCTGTGGCTGCTTCACCCCAATCTCCGCCTCGTTCTTCTCATGGCCCACTCCCCTGTGTCTGTGTCTCAAATCTCCCTCTACCCTTTTCTCATAAGGACAGCTGTCAGTGGATCTAGAGTCCATCCTAAATCCAAGATGATCTCAAGACCCTTCGCTGCATCTGCAAAGACCTTTCCCCAAATAAGGTAATTTTCTCATGTCTGGGGGTTAGGACTTGGACATCATTTTGGGGAGCCAAAATTCAACCCACTATACCCATAGAACAGGAAACTTCGCCCTGGCCACTGTAAAAATTCACATTTCACTTTGCGATGCCGAGGCGGGAGGATCAGGAGATCGAGAGCATCCTGGCTAAGATGGTGAAACCCCATCTCTACTAAAAATACAAAAAAAAATTAGCCAAGCATGATGGCATGTGCCTGTAGTCCCAACTACTCAGGAGGCTGAGATAGGAGAATCGTTTGAATCTGGGAGGGAGGGAGAGACTGCAGTGAGCCGAGATTGTGCCACAGCACTCCAGCCTGGGCAACAGAGTGAGACTCTGAGACTCCATCTCAAAAAACAAAAAAATTCACATTGTGAGCACCAAATGGGAAACCCTGTAGGTCTTGAAGCTTTGGCCAATTTCACAAAAATTGCTTGAGCAATTCCCACCACTCCAAGACCTGGGCATGGCAGGGAATCTGGGGCGTTGCCATGGTGATTCTAAACCTTGAAACTTTTGTCTTTTCATATTGTTTGCAAGGAACTACTCAAACCTCATATGAAATGCAGGAATCCAACAGATAGGCTGTTTGTAGAGTAAGCTCATTGCTTGGAGTGAGAACGCCCCTCCGCCTTCATTGAAGAAACCGCATCTATGTCATTCCCAGGATTCTCCCCAATGACCACCATACTAGGCTCAGCAACAACCCTGAACTTTCAATATAATCAGACATATTTGAGAGTGAGGAGGACAGAAGAGGTAGAAGAGAAATGCTTCAATACCACCCCTATTCAGAAGAAATTTCAAAAATGCTTGAAGGAGGCCAGGCACAGTGGCTCATGCCTGTAATCCCAGCATTTTGAAAGGCCAAGGCAGGTGAATCACTTGAGGTCAGGAATTCAAAACCAGCCTGGCCAACGTGGAAAAACCCCACCTCTACTAAAAATACAAAAATTATCTGGGTGTTGTGGTGTGTGCCTGTAATCCCAGCCACACAGGAGGCTGAGGCAGGAGAATTGCTTAAACTTGGGAGGTGGAGTGTGCAGTGAGCTGAGATCGTGCCACTGCACTCCAATCTGGGCCACTCTAGAGTGAGACCCTGTCTCAAACAAAAACAAATTTAAAAAGAGAAAGAAAATGCTTGAGGCTGGGTGTGATGGCTCACACCTGTAATCCTAGCACCATGGGAGGCCCAAGGTGGGAGAAGATCACTTGAGGCCAGGAGTTCAAGACCAGCTGCAGCAACCTTGTGAGACCCCATCTTTATTCAAAAATTAAATTAAAAATTTAAAAAGAAAACTCTTGACTCTACTAAGATACTGTTGGTAACATGGACAGCCTCTGCACGAACAGCGTATCGTGATTAACATGACTTTGCCACACACATCTCTGACAAGCTGCAGAGGGCCGGGTGGTGGGTGAAAGCCTATTTCTCCAGGAAACAATGAACTTGGAGAAGCCGTGGCTTTCGTGGAATCTTCCTGGAAGTGTCACGCAGGTAAGCCTGTGAAAGGGAAGATTTGGGTAAATTCATCGGAGTTTCAGTCTGGACAGGATTTTGGCTGAAGATTCTCTTGGTAATTTCCTTTTTCGTGAAGTAAAAACCTGAGTGACTTTGCTCATGTTAATCCATCCATCACCTTCTAGATTCAGCATCCCGCTTCCAGCAGCGTGCTGCGGCCTCATGTAGCATGCTGAGGCCTGAGCACATGGTCTGACTTTGCAGCTGTGGCTCTGAGCCCCTGAGTACCTACCGAAAATGAGGTTGCAGAGAAAAACCCGCTCCTTGATGGTGTCCCACATGGCAGTAACAGGTTTTGCTCCTAGAATATTTTCAGGCCAAGGATCAGCTTCACAATGGAAAACCAGGAGTAGGCCGGGCACGGTGGTTCATGCCTGTAATCCCAGCACTTTTGGAGTCCAAGGCAGGCAGATCACTTGAGCCCAGGAGTTTGAGACCAGCCTGGCCAACATAGCAAGACCCTGTCTCTACACAAAAAACAAAAATTAGCCAGGTGTGGAGATATGTGCCTGTAGTCCAAGCTGCTCAGGAGGCTGAGATGGGAGGATTACTTGAGCCCAGGAGGTGGAGGTAGCAGTAGCCAAGATCACACCATTACATTCCAGCCTGACAGAGTGACAGATTGAGACCCTTTTAAAAATTAAAAAAAAATACAAAAAGATAGCCAGGCATGGTGGCTCACGCCTGTAATCCTAGCACTTTGGGAGACTGAAGCAGGTGGATCACTAGGTCAAGAGTTCAAGACCAGCCTGGTCAAGATGGTGAAACCCCATCTCTACTAAAAACACAAAAACTAGCTGGGTGTGGTGGTGGGCAACTGTAATCCCAGCTACTTGGGAGGCTGAGGCAGGGAATTGCTTGAACCTGGGAGGCGGAGGTTGCAGTGAGCCAAGATCACGTCACTGCACTCCAGTCTGGGCGACAGAGCGAGACTCTGTCTCAAAAAAAACCAGGACTGGGAAAACAGATCTAAGGTGGTATGTCCGCTTATTGTGAGCCTTCTGGAAGGAGGTCGTGCACTTTTGAAAAGAACCAGAGAGGCCAGGCACTATGGCTCATGCCTGTAATCCCAAGGCTTTGGGAGGCCGAGGTGGGTGGATCACCTGAGGTCAGGAGTTCGAGACCAGCCTGGCTAACATGGTGAAACCCATTTCTACTAAAAGAAAAAATACAAAAAATTAGCCAGGTGTGGTGGTGCGCACCTGTAATCCCAGCTACTCAGGAAGCTGAGGCAGGAGAATTGCTTGAACCCGGGAGGCGGAGGTTGCAGTGAGCTGAGATTGCTCCATTGCACTTCAGCCTGGGCAACAAGAGCGAAACTCTGAGAAAAGAAAGGAAGGAAGGAGGGAGGGAGGGGGGAGAGAGGGAAGGAAGGAAGGAAGGAAGGAAGGAAGGAAGGAAGGAAGGAAGGAAGGAAGGAAGGAAGGAAAGACCCAGAGAATAAAACACATTGTCCACAAAACAGCCCTGCCTCTGCACCAGCAGGTGATGGGGGCGCCATTTTCCCGAAACCTTTCCCCTTCCCTGTTCCAAACCTTCAAGTTCAGTTTCTTTCCACACTTCTGTTCATTGGGACCACAAGTCTGCCCTCTGCTGGTTAAGGGACATGCAAGCATTACTACAGCTGGGAAGGGGACCAGTGCTGTGGCCCCTTAACTGATGTTTTTCACTGGGGGGGACAGTAATGTAGGCAGTAATGTACTTACCTCCTAACTCATGGAGACTTTATCTTAGAGTCAGAGCTGTAGAGTGACCGATAAAACATTCTCTGCCTTCGTGGGTCACCGATAACATCTGCACACCGCATATCCCAGGGAATTCTAAAATCAAGCTGGCGTTATCACACCTAGGGCTAAAAGTCCTCTGAAACATCATCATATAAATTAATCTAAAAGGCAAAACATAAATAAACCAAGTAAGCATAAAAACAGTCATTGAAAGAGACAAACGTGAAACTGAATCCTGGTCTCTCTATTTACTAGCTCCATGAGCTAGGACAAATACTCAACTTCTCTTTTTTTTGAGACAGGGTCTGACTCTGCTGCCTAGGCTGGAATGAGATGGCATGATCTCAGCTCACTGCAACCTCTGCCTCCTGGGCTCAAGGAATCCTCCCACCTCAGCCCCCTGAGTAGCTGGGACTACACCCACCTGGCTAAGTTTGTATTTTTGGTAGAGACAGGGTTTTGTCATGTTTCCCAGGCTGGTCTCGAACTCCTGGGCTTGAGCGATCTGTTCACCTCAGCCTCTCAAAGTGCTGCAATTATAGGCATAAGCCACTTTGCCCTGTTATTCAACTTCTCTAAACCCCAGTTTCTTTAACTGTAAAATGAGGCTGTTCATAATTGCATCAGATAATTGTTGAAAAGATTAAATGAGATCATTAATCAGGTAGCACAGGACAGTATCCAGCACATTGGAAATATTCTTTAAATCGGGGGTGTCCAATCTTTTGGCTGCCCTGGGCCACATTGAAGAATGGTCTTGGGCCACACATAAAATACACTAACACTAACAATAGCTGATGAGCTTGAGATAAAAAGAAAAAAAAAAATGTCAGGCATGATGACTCATGCCTGTAATCCCAGCACTTCAGGAGGCCAAGGCAGGCAGACCACCTGAGGTCAGGAGTTCCAGACCGGTCTGGTCAACATGTTGAAACCCCTACCTGTCCTAAAAATACAAAAATTAGCCAGGTATGGTGGCATGCCCCTGTAGCCCCAGCTATTCGGGAGGCTGAGGCAGGAGAATGGCTTGAACCCAGGAGGCAGAGATTGCAGTCTGTCAAGATAGCACCACTGCACTCCAGCCTGGGCAACAGAGTGAGACTCCATCTCAAAAAAAAAAACAGCAAAGAAATCTCATAATGTTTAAAGAAAGTTTACAAATTTGTGTTGGGCCACATTCAAAGCCATCCTGGGCTGCATGTGACTGGTGGTCCAAGAGTTGGACAAGCTTGCTTTAAAATATTTTTCTTTTTCGATCACTTTATTCTAGAAGCTAGAAAACTTTGCTCAGAGTGGTGCAGAGGAAAAGCCAGTGTTGGAGAAGAGAAGTGTGCATTGAGATCCTTGTGGTGTGCAGACACCTTCGTCACCAGCGGTCCTCAACCCAGGGCAATTTTGTGCACCCAGGGATTTTGGCAAAGTCTGGAGACGTGTTCTGGCTGCCACAACCGGAGAGTGGTGCTATTAGGATCTAATGAGTAGAAGCCAGGCATGCTGCTAAATATCCTTCAATGCATAGATCAGCCGAAATGCATAGATCAGTCCCCTACAGGGACTTATCCAGCCCAAAATGTCAGTAGTGCTGAGATTGGGAACCCTCTCCGGCCTCTCGAGAAGCGCCTTCAGCTCTATCATTGAAGACCTGAGTCCCTGGCCAGCCACTGTACACAATCAAAGCTTTGCTTCTCTAAAGCTGAAACCTCATTCAGAAATGCCAGCTATGAGCACTGTGAATAGGTGTGGCACTAAGCAATGGTGACTCTACTGAGTTCCAGAACTTACTATCTCTTGCTAACCAGTAATATTTCTGCTTACAGCTTGGCTTTCCATATGACAATAGAAATAGTAACAAAGTCTCTGGATTCAAAAGTCACTCGAAGTCGGGGAGGTCAAGGCTCCACACACACACACACACACACATTTAATCATAATAAAATACACATAACATTAAACTTACCATCTTACCCATTTTTAGGTGTACAGTTCAGTAGCACTAAGTACAAGCACATTGTTGTGAAATCAATATCCAGAACTCTCATCTTGCAAAACTGAAACCCTATACCCATAAACAAAAATGCCTCCATTTTCCACCCCCAAGGACTCCCAATATTTTCGCAAAATAAAATACTCACAGAAAAACAAATTGTAAACACAAACCAACCGACAAAAACCCAGATGTTTTTTGTTTTTGTTTTTTTGAGACAGAGTCTTGCTTTGTCACCAGGCTGGAGTGCGATGACGATGCCGTCATAGCCCACTGCAGCCTCAACCTCCCAGACCCAAGCGATCCTCTCACTTCAGCCTCCCAAGTAGCTGAGAATACAGGCATGTGCCACCACACCCGGCTATTTTTTAAACATGTTTTGTAGAGATGGGGGTCTCATTATGTTACTCAGGCTGGTCTTGAACTCCTGGGTTCAAGCTTCCCAAGTAATTGGGATTACAGGAGCCTCCTACCACTCCTGGCTAAATTTTGTATTTTTAGTGGAAGTGAGGTTTCACTATGTTGGCCAGGCTGGTCTCGAACACCTGACCTCAGGTATTTCACCTGTCTCAGCCTCCCAAAGTGCTGGGACTATAGATGTGAGCCACCACGTCCAGCCAGCTACTCTTGCAAGTTGGGGCCCATGTTAAGTAATAGAAGAGTTTCTTGAACACAAGCAGGGTGATACCATGACAGTAGTTCTGACAACCAAGATGGTAAAGTGACTAACCAGCAGGGAGAGCCTGAATGTGGTGGACAAAGGGAGGGTTTACATTACAGATGGGATGAAGTTCACAGTGAGACTTTCATCATGCTGCCCAGAATGGTGCACAGCTTAAAACCTACGGATTATTTCTAGAATTTCCCATTTAATATTCTCTTTTTTCTTTTCTTTATTCTCTCACCCCCTTTTAAGACAAGGTCTTTCTCTGTCACCCAGGCAGGAGTGCAGTGGTACCCTCAAAACTCACTACAGCCTCCATCTCCTGGGCTTAAGCCATCCTCCCACCTCGGCCTCCCAAGCAGCTGAGACTACAGACACACGCCACCACACCTGGCTAATTTTTGTCTTTTTTGCAGAGATGAGGTTTGCCATGTTGCCAAAGCTGGTCTTGAACTCTTGAACTCAAGGAATCCACTTACCTCAACCTTCCAAAGTGCTGGAATTACAGGCATGAACCACCATGCCTGGCCCATTTAATGTTTTCAAACTGCGGTTGATCATGGGTAACCGAAACTTCAGTGGGTGAAACTGTGGATGACGGGAGAACTATGTACATTAAATACGTGCCCAGAAAACTGATTACATGCTAGGCACA